TTTTTGTGACCCTGCTGCATCGTGTCTGAAACGTTTTGACCGGAATTGTTTATGTGCATGTGCAGAGAGAGTAAAATACACCTATCTTAAAACCTTCTAGAAGCCGCTTTGTGATACCTTCTAACTTAGAACAGAAAATCCCGTCAATTATTAGAATATGATAAATAATTCTATGTAAGTAATTATTTCGGTGACTGCTGCACCGTTTTATGATCTTCTGATTTGGTTTTGTTCTTTCTCGCTTGTTCAAAATGGTGAAGTAGTTGCAAAATGTGATACTTTGGGGGAAGATACCAGCTTTTTGAACATTAAAGAACATGTTAAAACCAGTTAATAAATTCATTGGAGCACATTTTTAGTAATTAGAGTCAAGGGTTTTGTTCGGAAGTTTCTAGGCGTAGCAATTAGTTGCTTAGGGCAGGGAGAAAATAATACTTTTTTTTTTTTTTTCCCTCAGTTTGACCTGTGACGTGGTCTTAATTTATGACCAGAGCTCCTGGATGTCGTGGTCATGCAAATACATAAACAGTGGTTAGGGCTCATCTCTTGTAACCTCACTGTACTTGACCTACTTAACTTAGGGACCTTTCTTGAAAGAGAAAATAGACCTGATTCACCTTTAATACCCGCCTTAAATTGATCAAATTTACATCCTGACAGTACTTCTCTAGATTCCTTTCTCCTTCGTGGAAAACAGGATGATAAGGTCAGATGTCAGCATCCGCAAAGATGCTGGAGTTGAAGTGACAAATCTGAATTATTTTAGACATTCTAAAGGGAAAAATAATACTGTACCAGATCCTAAACTTGAATAGGCTTTAAAGTAAGAGAAACTGAATTGGGAACAATTGCTGCACAAGGAATTGTTTAATCCCAACAAAAAAAAAGATGAAAAATTGGCAGCCTGATTGGTAGTTCAGTACAAAGACACATGGGTCTACTAAGATACATAAAAAACACGTTGGAAGACATGGGTACGAAGCAGATGTATGAGTTGGAGTATCTAGTTTTGAACCCAGAGCACCAACAGAATTTATATTATGGATTTAAATGTTCTTTTGTATTCTGTGTAATCTAGACAAAAAAAAACAACACAACTTTAAGGATTATTAATGTAAGGGAAAAATGGTACCAAGTTAATGATGCGTTGTATTCTAATCAGTAACAATACTATTTGAATATGAAATTTAATTGATACTAGTTCTAAATGAATCAATATCAAAATTTGTTGTCAATGTTTGGCATGTGTTTGTAGTTTTATTTTTGTCCAAGTGGAGCAGTTTTGCTTAATTGTATCAAGATAACATTGGTGTTTGTTGTGAATAGCCTGCATGTGTTAATCATTATCAAAACATGCGAATCATGCACTCAAAAAGTGAAGTAATCATTGATTATGCTTTTGTATTTTCATTGAATTGGATACTTTTGTGATTGGCAGTGCTGGACTTTGCAATTTTTTGAAAACTGAGCTCTCAGAGTTGTGCAGTTGGGTTCTTCAGAGGGCTTGCTGGGTGACTCGACAGTCCTGCTGTCCTCGTTTTTCCACAAGGTTGAAAGGCAGCTGCACATCACTTTCATGTTACTGCTGTAGTGTGGCTGGTTGCGTAAATTGCCACTGAGAGGTTGTTCAGTTGTCAGTGGGGAAGGGAAGCAGTCCATCAAATAATCTGAGAATGTGGTCTGTGCACACAAAGTTTGAGAAGACTAATGATTACTCACGAGCCAGTTCATTACAACTCCCCAGGCGCCGAATATGAGCTCATCATGCCGAGTTACTGGACTGTGCCTGAGATTCCAAATATAACTGGCTTGGTTTGAAAGACTCTAAAGTCACATTTAGAAATGACAAGGAACTTAATCAGTAAGAAAAGGAGGAGAATGTTTAGTTCAAGGGTACCACATCTATTAATGGTAGATTGCGCTGCTCATGCTGAGCTTTACCTCACCGCTGCTCTAGCTCGGATTGCTACAGCTGCTGCTTGTGCGAGTGGCGGTGACCAGAGCAAGGGTTGGAGAATCTGCCGTACACTGATGCTTGGAAAGAATCCAGACAGTCCTTGCTCGGTTTTGAATGTGGCCGTTGTTGGAAGGCTTAACCTTTTGTTGTTAAACTTTCTGCACCAGCAGGTCCTTGTTGTGAATGCATGAGTATCCTAACTCTTGCTTTGTTTTGTCTTAGTCACATTGATCAAACAACAACATGGCAAGATCCACGGAAGGCCATGCTTTCCCAGATGAATGTTACAGCTCCCACCAGTCCTTCTGTGCAGCAGAACATCATGAACTCGGCATCAGGTAAGCAATCTTTGTATTTATGAGAAAGGTCATACAAATGAAGATACGGCTGCTTTAACTGAGGGGGAGGGAGTCCAAATCTCACAATTGTCCAGTATTCTGATTTTAAACTTCAAATTCAATGATGCCCAATGCACCAGGCAAGAGCTGATGCTTGAGACTAGAGAATTTGTATAGTATTTGTGATGTCATCAGAAAGTATCCTGTAGTTCTTTGGTTTGTGCTTTTACTTTTTCAAATGGATGATTCAAATATTTAAAGAAGCAGAATTATTGTCTAATTTCATCAATTTAACAGCATTTTCAGTCAGAAGACCAGAATTTCCAGTAAGTTAGTATCAGTTTACATTAAAGCTGTTGTGCTTCTGCAGTGTTCTTCTCCCTCCCCTTCCCACTTACAGGAGTCGATATACTCCCATTTGTTTACGTTTCCTGCATTTGTCATGAACATATAATTTTTTCCTGTCTTCCCTATATGAATAAAGCAAACACCTGGAAAATCTTGTTTAGAAGCAGAGACATTTTGGTTTTCCTCTTATTTTCCCATCATGTCCAAAATCCTATTTCATGATGATAATTCCTCTAGCTGAGGAAGTCTGATATTTTTTCCTGGAATGTTTTTTCAGCTAGCCTGGGATGGGGGGCATAAGTAGGCAACAGTAAAGTGTACTTGTTCTTGCTGTGGAATCTACTCTGTGTTTTTAGAGCTGTTTTGTCCTGATGATGCAGAAAGCAAGCAGATAAGTTTGGTGCCATGCTAGTTTGACTGCTGTGCTCTTCCTTGTGCTTTGCCACCTTCTGTCTGTCGTTGAGATTCATGTCTTATTTATTTTCGCAAAATCTGATTGTATTTTGTGTATGTCTGCTGTTCCTGTATTTCACAAAGGTTATTCTCTGGTACTGCTTTTCGTTGTCCATTGAGACAGCTTTGTTCCGTGCTGCAATTCATATGCTACAGACAATACCAAAAGATTAACAGCCGTGACCAAACTGTGCTGTCTATGACTGAGTATTAGAGGGGAAGCTAATCATGGTTTTTTCTAGCTGGGAACCTGAAACAAATGAGAGTCCAAGTTGTACTAAGAATTAGCAGGAAAAAATGTTGATAGTGAAGTAGGATTCACTGTATATACTTAGAAAGAAACAAAGTGTCCTCACCAAAAAAATAAGCAGGTTAATTGTAAGGGTTAGAAATCTGAAAGAATCTAGGGACCAATGCACAAGGATTATTTTTAAAAGAAGATCAAGAATCCACATGTTATTGCTTGATGTGTGTGAACATGTGTTCTGCATAGATATTGCTGCTCATGCAACAAAGAGATGTTTTAAGTGGCTTGTCTTGTGATTTGAGAAAGCACTTTTTTTGACTACAACTTCATTGAGCATGTATTTTTAATTTCACAGGTGATACTTTATTGAATATGAATTGAAAATCTTGTAAAGTTTTTTCCCCCCCCAGTGCTGTTTTTGATCAAGTGCATGAAGAAATTGGAACTTCTCTGTATATTGAGTTTATGTGGTGTTGCGTTTTTTAAGCTTAAATCAGTTGAGGTTGTGTGACTTGGAACTGACTCTTCGGATGCATCTGCTTACCCTTAGCTTACTTGCAGTTAACAAAAGTCTGTTTTGAATTAAATAATACTGAACCAGCATTTGTTGGATATAATTAGATTTTTGATACCTGATTTGGCAAATCTGTATGTGTTAACTTTAAATTATGACTGTATATTTGTTTTTACAAAAGTCTCTTGTATCTGATTCTGTTGCTTTTTACTACTGAGTTCTTGGTAACTTCTGCTTCCTTGGCGGCCTCATAAAGAATCTCTGAGAGAAATGGAAAAACCAAGTAACTATGTACTACTTCAGCACAGTGGAACTTAAATCTGAGTGCTGACGTCATAAATGTAAGACTAGTTAATGTTCTAATTTGGATATTCATCCTCAAGAACTGGGAAATAAAGTTGAGACCTTTACGACAGAAGTTTCCTGTTATGAAATATTGCTGGCAACGAAATATGCCGTAGTGCTTTGAGAGCCTTTCATGAAAGATACTGGGAAAAAGCAAGTTTTAAGTATTGTGACAGCTGGAGGTCACTGACTTGCAAAAAAATGTCTGAAATGCCACAAGGGAGAATGTTTTTCTTTCTGTATGGTTCTTCCTTGTATAGTGCTCATTAGTTGGAGCCCTTAATCAAAAGTTACTGTCCAAGTTTTAGTATATTTAATTACAGACGGGCATAGGAGCTTGTGAGTAAAGTTGCTGTGGTAAAATGTAAGAGGGAAGGTTTTTAGGAGCTGTCTTAGCTGTTAGCCAGAATTAGAATACTAGCCATTAGCTAGAATTAGCAACAGGCAAACAAACTCAAGAGGGAGAGAGGGAAGAGAACTTGGAAAGCTGCTGTCTGCATGTTGAAGATAAACCTGTTTTCTGGATAAATAGGTTAAGTGGAACTTGGGGAGAATGGGAAGAAAGCAAAACTAGATAGGTGTAGTGAGGGTGGAGGCAACGATTTTGTGGATGAACTATTTTATGAGTGTTAGCATACATCCTTTACAGGCATTGGTATGTGAAAAGTGAGGATGTTTTTCCCTGTCATTTATTTTCATTCTTTGGTATTTTTTTTTGTCTCAGTCTTGCTGAACTTATCTTGGTACATGTAATTAATGAAAATGGTTTGGGTATATAGAGAAAGAGTGCTCTTTTAAATGATATTTGTTAGTTAATCTGTGAAATAGGATTGCATCTTCACATTAATAATGGGGGGGGAAGCCTGTTACTTCTAAATATGCAACATGGATATAAAAATTGCCCTTGACTGTTCTCGCTGTGTGTTCACTAACCATTTTTTCCCTGAAGGTACTAGAGGAGTAACTATGTTCTTCTGTCTTGATTAAAAAAAGGTAGAAAAATAGTAATAAAAGGTACATTGTTCTTCTGAGGAACTTCTCCTCTGGGTTTCTTACCGAGGTAGTTATAAATTTGAAAGACGACAATGCCTGTTTCTTACACAAGTACAGTTGATACAAGAGAACTGGGATGGTTGTTGTGTTTCTGTACCTCCATTCTGCAGATCCTTTTACTTCCCGAGTTGTGCTTGACAGCACTGCTTGCTGTGGCCTCTCCTGCTTGCGCATAGACTGTAGGTCCTGAGCTTTGGAGTGGGTGGCTTGTCTTTGTCCTCTTCTGTCTTCCCTCTTATGTTACAGTTTTTGAATGGGGCTTCCTGGTGAAAGTTTTATCAGAATTACACATAGTGTGTGATTCTGTTGCCTCTTAGGGTAAGACTTTAGTGCCACATTAAAGATAGCTAAGAGAAGGGACTCACAAATTCCTAGCTCATGAGGGGTTTTTTCTTTCCACCTTGGGGGACAGGAGGGTATGGAGGAATACGCCAATAGCTAAAACCAGTTCTAGCTCAGCTCTCAGGTTCTTGCTCACTTCAGCTACAGATTTCTTTTCTATGTAACCAGTCATGTTATAAATTCTGCTTTGTATCCAGTCAACACTATGTCTGATGTGCGGTGAAAGTGGAGTTGCTAAGTACCTGCTTTACAGTAATGTTCATTTTTTTCTTTGTCTGAAGAAAATGTACCCCTTTTAATTGTGTTTTTTTCTTAAGTTTTACTAATTTGACGGAGTAAAAGTGAGCTTCAGGTAAATTTTGCAGACTTTGATATAATTTTTAAAGTTTTGGATTCACAGTGACTGTGATTGCAGGGAAGAATTTTCACTTTCACAGAGAAAGATTAGGAAGGTTTATAGAGATCAGCTTTTGTATTAGGGGAAGGTGATTCCTGCTACTGAACGTATGTGTTCCAATTCCGAAGTTTCCCATGCGTATTCTTTTACTATCTAGATACAGATGCTCTCTACTATGCATTAACATTTTGATAAAATACAGCTTTATTTACATTTAGCTTACAGTTAAATATCAGCAACTGTGGGGACTTACATCTTCAAAAACTACAGTAAGACATTCTTGTCCTGCTTATGCCTTGGGATATTACTGGAATGCAGTTGAATTATTATTTTACTCTCTTTGCAAGATTTGTGTCCCAGCATAGCTTAAGTTTCTACATTTTTGCTTTTGTTACTCTTCCTGTTGATTTCTGTCTGTCAGCAGCGAGCTCTGCTTTGCATTTAAGACTCTGCATTTCATGGCATATGAGAAAGTAAAAACTCAAATAAAATGGAGATACACACCAAGCAGAGACATGCACACAAACTTTTAAAATTGCATGTATTTATGTTAAGTTATAACATTATATAAATATTTAGTTATAGAGATATGCCTTATCGGTAGTTCTGTAGGGGTGGTTTACATTTGGAAATTAGAATCTAATTGTTGGATAACCTTGTCTTTAAAAGTGCCACAGTAAATGGTGAGTTCCCTAGAAGGGTTGTCTCGCCCTGTGCAAATAATTTCATGGAGCTGTACCCTTACGGTTGTGATTGTGTTCAGTTGACCTAGGAAGCACCCAGGCAGAACTGGTAGGAGACCACACCACAGCGATACTGTTGGTCCTAAATGTTTACAAAGACTTGAGGGAAGATTGGAAAAAGAAAGAGAGATCCTTTTGCACCTACTAAGTAGACAGAGTCTGGCTCAAGAAATCACCTGAGGTACTTGGAGGCCAAGTGACTATTCATGGGCACTATACTTTTTTGGGGTCCGTATGTGTATTTGGGGCTTTATTTAAATAGAGCGTGACAGTTGCTGTACGGGCTGCTTTCAGCAACAACGTTCCATAGCATGAGGTTAAATATCTGGGCTGAATGGACTTCTGGTTAGACCCAGCATGGCTGGGTTTGTACAACATGGGAATTCTGTTCCTGTTGAGCCTATTTTGGGAAAAGTGATTTTGCGCAGGAATTTTCCTGGATGCTCCAAGTGAGTATGTCTGCTATTCTTCACCATGGTTTTCCATTTTTTCCTCCTTTACTTCCCTTTAATACAGAGTTTGTCAGACAGCCAGTTACAAAATCAGACTTGACAATATTCTGGTTTCACAACTGCTCACAAAACCAAACAGGAATTATAGAAAACAGTCCTAATCAATTTTTGAACTACTGTTTCGACGTGTAGAGATGTGACAGCAGAAACATGAGAGCAGTTCACTGGCCAGGAAAGAAAGCGATGTGTTGATTAAGGCAAAAATTTTCCAGAGAAAAAGTTTCAGTCTCTGTGACTGTTGATGCCATTTAGTTAGGAAGACTTGCTGCTGTGACAGCCAGGTGAGCAGACAGACCTTTTCTGTCCTGTCCACAGCTGCACGTGTTATTTAGAAAGAGAACCTTGCCTGGGATTGTCTCTAGAAAACTCGTACTCATGAGACCACTGAATCTCAAAGGCACTGCTGTTCCACCAGGTGGGTGGACTGATCATCTCCTGGCATCCTGATTCAAAGGCATTTTGCTCTTACTACAAAAGCGCATGCTGTGGACCAGTATATACTTTACTCAGT